TGGGGCATTTCTGACTTGCCAGCCAAGGGTACATCTCCGTCTATGATTTCTTTTTGTGTGGATGTTAAGCTGCCAACACACTTGGAACATCCTGGGTGTTATTGGTTCATAACACGTCAGCAAGAGCAGCACCTTGTCTTTGAAGAAATTATGTATAGATATCTGACCATACGAACTCCTTCAAGTTCCCCAAGGTATGATTATCCCTCACTGTACCCAATGGGAAGGGAAATAATTGCTTCGCATCTCTTCTTATGTGTCATGATGCATATTGGCTTTATTTCATGATTATCGGGAGCTTCTGCCACCACCGCCCCCTCATGCATGCTTCAGGCTGTCTGGGATAGGTATAAAAGAGCTGAGGACTTCCACAGTCATCTAACCAGCTTTCTCCATTTGACTCCCCTCAGCTCCTGGGTAAGTGCAATTCTCGGAGGCTTCTCAGGACTCTCTCCCAGCCTCCATCCATACTGCTCTCACTATCCCTTTTCTCACTGTTTGCAGGACTCCTTGCTTGTGTGGAAGATGTCCTGCTCCAGCCTGTGTGCCCCTGCCTGCGGGGTGGCCGCCCCGGCCCCGCTGGCTGACAGCTACAACGAGCCCTGCGTGCGCCAGTGCCCCGACTCCACCGTGGTGATCCAACCCCCGGCCACCGTGGTCACCTTCCCCGGGCCCATCCTCAGCTCCTTCCCGCAGAACGCTGCAGTTGGCTCAGCAGGAGTCCCCGCTGTTGGAGCAGGCTTGGGTGGCAGCTTTGGACGTAGTGCCGGCTTTGGGGGCTATGGAGGCCTGGGAGGCTCTTATGGCCTTGGGGGCCTTGGGGGCTATGGAGGCTTTGGCAGCTGTGGATTTGGTGGCTTCCGCCGAGGCCACAGATACCTCAGTGGCAGCTGCGGGCCCTGCTAAGCACAGCACTGCCTCTGTCCATGGTTAAAGGAGAGCTCTGGAGAAGCCCTGGAACATTCCGATCTGATGCTGTGAGGAAGAGCACCACTTCAGCATTGCTGAGTACGGGATTGGATTCCTCATGCTTGCATGGCGACCAGCTCAGCCTTCCTCTGCTCCCCTTGATCTTCACTTCAGTGTTCTCTGCCCCATGATTTCATAGCCCTGTGCTAGCAGCCTGCTTCTTTCCCTCTGCCCTCTGCGAGGTGATGGGGACAGCCTCTGGCCAGGGCTGCCCTTCTATCTTCATCCTCCTCCCCTGGACCTACAATAAAAGCTCCCTTACACTGCAATCTCGAGCTTGTTGTTTTTATCTTCCTTCTCCTTCCTCCACATCTCAGAGCCTGCAAATGTGGGTTGTGAGCTACTCCCACAGTATTGCCTTTGCTACATGGGGCCTTCCATTATAGCTAAGGTTCACAAGCGCATAGACGGTCCTGCAGAGCCCATTCCACTGAGTCTCCTCCCTTCTCCCAATGGGTGCAATGACACCTCATAAACAAACCTCACTTTAGTATGTTAACACTCATAGGGTGTCCCACAAACCTCTTCCACACCCTCTTTCCATCCAGGGACCTCCATGCTTTATCACCTACTTTTCCTGCCATAGCAGTGTTCACACAGGTCAGAGGAAATGGGGAAACAAGCAGTGCATGGACAGGGCTCCTGCCACCTGCTGACAGTGCCCCCATGCCCAGCTCCTGGAGGGGACAGTGGGGCTCAGCCATGAATGGAGCACAACCATGCTGTCCCAGGGAGCACAAAGGTCTTGAGGCAAAGTTTAGAGTCCCTTCTTGTCTGGTGTCCTTTTCATCCCCAGGCATCTTCAGATCCCATGATCCAAGCACAAAGTGAAGGTGGGCAGCTGAGAAAAAGGTTGTTCATTGCTGGGACCTCAAGAGAACACATGCCATCAACAAGAAGCATTCCTGCACCACTAGAATGGAAAATTGTCCTCCCTCCACTGACCTGGTTTACATCTTTATTTCTTCCCTCCTTCCTCACCTCTCTGCTGGCTCCTGTGTGATGGGGCTCAGCCAAACCCCATGATTTGCCTCCCGTGGTGTCCCATGGGGTGGCTGCAGGCCCATTGGTGGGAGGTGGTGGCTGGTCCCCATTGCTCTGACGTGGCCAGGTGCTTTGTGGGGCCTAGGGCCAAGAGCGCTGTGTGAGAT